TCTCTCCTCTATATCTCTCTCTCTCGCGCGCTCTCTCTCTTCTCTCTCTTCTCTCTCTCTCTCTCTCTCTCTCTCTACTCTCTCTCTCTCTATCTCCTGGTGGTGTGTGTGGTGTGTGTCTATATATATATATATATAATATATATATATAATATTATATATATATATATAATATATATCCTACATATGTGTGTATGTGTATGTATACTACACTTAAACTATGATAACCAATGTAGTGAGGACAGCATGATACCTGAGTGCATTCGGAGCGCGAAGCACAACATCTTGCACACCATGCGTTTTTACCTGGAATCTGACGGCAGTTACCTTACGTGTGATGGCCCAGTCATTGTTATACACTATGTGAATCTTGTTTCTCCAGGATGACTATCACGATGATTATGTGATGGAAGAAGATCTTCTACGACTGTCACCACTTTCCAGTCAGGTAGGATACCGCTTGTTGTCATGTCAACCTTACCGGTCGAAGAAAAAGTTGTATATTTCTCGTCGCATTTGTTTATACGTTGACGCTTGGCGCATGTGCATATTATCCCCGTGTATTTCACTCGTACAAAAGTCTATGGGAGAACATGGGCCGTGATGTTGAAATTGTGAATTTCGGGAAAGGCTCGTCTTTGATGACCGCAATGCTGCTTCAGATGTCTGCAGTGACCGCGCGACTGTGTGCTTTGTGTTCGTTCCATGTCACCAGCTCGGCTAGCGGAGAGGAGCGGACGCGGCGAGCGAGCTGGGGCAACGGCCGGACTCGGACGGGCTGCGGGACGTCACCCACCGTCCGGCGGAGCGGACGCGGCGAGCGAGCTGGGGCAACGGCCGGACGCGGAGTGGCTGTGGGACGTCACCCACCGTCCGGCGGAGCGGACGCGGCGAGCGAGCTGGGGCAACGGCCGGACGCGGACGGGCTGCGAAACGTCACCCGCCGTCCGGCACTGGTTGTAACACTTCACTCTCGTGACTTGTGCTCTTCTTTTCATTGCATTGGTGCCTCCGTCCCGGATGAAGTACAAACGAATTTTCAACGCCGAATTGTCCTTTCGCCTCACAACAAGGTACGGCTATCGAAGTTCAGGCTCCAATCCGCGTGAGCCATACTAGTCTCTAGATCACTGGAAAAGAATTTTATTTTCTGGCGTATGGTACGTGTACTTGCTGGAAGCTATTGCAAGACAGCTTCGCGACTGATCAGATATTTTGGACAAGCTGTGTGCCTACCACTGCACATATTTAGAAAACGGTCGGAAGAAACACAAGCATTTCTGCTCTTGCCACAACCTCAGCAAGCGGGATTTTTGCCTACTGTGTGGCATTTGTCATACTTGCCATTGTGACCATATCACTACCTCCTGTTACGCCTACCACCGTTGCTCCTGCCTTCCTTGTCTCGAACGCTGTTGTGGTTTCTCCTCGGCAAATCCTTCGGCAGCAGACCTTGAAAAACATTATCAAAAAGCCCAACGTCGCTGCACGACATATCTCCGACAGCTCCAATATACTAACCTTTTCCATCCAGACTATCAAGCCCCTGAAGTTTCGTTACTTGGTGGAGATAATACGGAAAAAACTCCGGTAGAACAAGAAGAATTGCTATAGGAAGAGGAACACCCATCCTCGTCGAAACGGGAACGGAGCGGTCCTTGAACCGTATAATCTACCTGCCTGTACACGAAACGAGAAGCGAGCGCAGCCGCCGACTCCGCGCTACCTACAAAGCGCGGAAGACCGCGAACATCTCCGCCGCTGCCAAGCAGGCAAGCGCTGCTACCGCCTCTGCCAACCAGGCAAGGGCTGCAACTCGTAAGAGCACGACCGGAAGGACGACGCAGTTCGAAGACGCAGAACCCGAGCTCGGAGTGCAGTCTCCCGTCTCTCCCATCTACGAGCACGAGGCCCAGGACTGGTGATCTCCGGTGTTACATCAGGCTACTCTATCAATAAGGTACGGCGCTGACTATCCTGTTTGTTCCATTTCGCAATCATCTCGAACACCATGGCGCATGCACCTCAGGAAATCCCCTTACCGGAGGAACTTTTGCATTCGACAGAACTGTCACACAATGCGTCAAAAGGCTTGGAAAATTTTACGACCTTTTGAACATAAATTCCATTATAGCCGATTGTGCACACTGACGGCTTAAATGCTGGAAATTTGTACCAGTGGATAGCCGATGTGGATCGCACCCATCAGGATTGCAACGGCAACGATAAAATCACGCTAACCGCTGCAGGACGTCTCGTAACCGGGACAGCAAAATCTTTTTTTGTGTGTGGGGGGGGGGCTCAGCCAAGAGCACAATTGCACGTGGCTCCAAATGAAAAACTTGTTCAGAGGTTTTTATTCAAACCTGCGCGACCCCGACATTTTGGAAGAAAAACTGAAAAGTACCATTCAAAAATCGAGCGAACCTGTGCAGTCCTTTTATGAGCGCTGAAACCAATTAGCTGCCGAAGTGTACGGGAACGATATAAACACCCCAAATAAGCAAAAAGCCAAAGCCGTGGCCAAATTGTTCATGAACGGACTTGTGAATAAATGAATTGCCAACAAACTGCTTCGCCAGTAGCCTCTGACTCTGAACGCCGCCTTAGATGTTGCACTCATGGAAGACAAATTTTGCAGGCAAATAGAATTGCGGGACGGAGAGGAGCGAGCCCATGGAAATCGATTTGGTTAAACTAGCCACAGACCCCTTACCGAAAAAAATTGAGCAACGTACGGAAACAGTCAATGTGCTAGCAGTTAAAATGGAGCAAGCAAACCAGACGAAAGCGCCCCAAGGAGTGCAACCGCAGCAAGCGAACCAGTACAGATACATGCCTCAAAAGCAGTATCAAAAGCGTTTCATGCCGCACAACCCTTCTGGACAAGGTAGACTATATCCACTACCGCAAAGAAATTTTCACGGGACTCAAACCCATCTCGGACTAGACCCCAGGTTCTATAGAGATGACCCGGCACGACCTAGGTATCAGTTGACCGAAGACCATAGGCCCATCTGTCATTTTTGCCACATTCAACGTGTGTGTCGCAAATATGCCGCACAACTACGTAAACAGACCTCGCACGCAGAGAAACAGCTCCCCATGGCTATGAGCTGTGATTGTACTACCAAAAAAGGGATGGCTCACATCGAATTTGTGTAGACTTACGAAAATTAAACGCCATGACCGTAGTACCCGCTCCCAGTATACCTGACGCCGAAGACATCCTTCATTATTTAGCAAAGTCTAAATTCCGCACCCGTTTGGACTTAAAAGCTGGATTCTGGCAGGATCCGATCAAAGAGGAAGATAAAGAAAAAGCTGCTTTTGGGACAGATGCAGGTGTTTTCGAGCACGGTTCGATGACTTGGTTTAGCAGGTTCCCAGCAGTCTTCCAGGCTCTGATAAGCGCCGTTTTGAGCGATATCAAACAACTTGCAGTTGCCTTCATCGACGACATTATCGTCTATAGCGTCACCCTCGAGGAACACTTGCAGCATCTTGAGACAGTCTACGATCGATCACGACGCGCAAACCTGCACCTCAAAATATTGCAGTACGAATTCCTAAAAGACAAGCTAAGCTATTTGGAACATATAGTACCAAACGAAGGAATTCGCGCGGATCCAAACAAAGTCAAAGTCGTAACAACTTGCAACCGCCTAGAAACCTTAGGAAAGTCCGAGGATTTATTGGAATGACATCCTATTACAGGAAGTACGTGCCACGGTTCAGCGAAATTGCGAG